TACTCCTCCAAATTTATTTATTTTTTCATCCTTGATCCTTATATAAGATCTCCCCTTGCTTCTTCCTAAAGCAAGGGAAGATTCTCCTTCTTTTAATTCAATTACAATTATATGTATGCTTCTTCTTAATTTTAAGCAGAAAAAAATTGTTCATCCAAGAGAAAAGGATGAGTATAGCAATAGAGATTTTTAGGAGATTTTAGGCGAAGAAAAAAAGCTATAAGAAAGAAAGAGGAGAGGTCGCGCGTGGATTTCTAAAAGAAGTTTTTACTAATTTTCTTCAACCTCTTCTCCTCTCTTTTTTAGCCTTTTTTATTTAAAAACAATTTTATTTATTTTCATAAAACCAGTATTAAATCCTTAATATTTACAAAATAAAATGAGTGCGCGCTCGCACACATGAAAATGCGAAAAATGACATTTTATATATTTTGAAGAGAGAGGGGGGATTTTAAATATTGATTAGAAAATTGAAAAGTTATATATAAAATTGAGAAGCCTATAATTTATTTAAAAAAAGGAAATAAATTTTTAAAAATTAAAAAAAAAATGAAGAGGAAGTTAAAAAATGAATATGCCATCGATTTTGTATACAGGGTGCACCATAAGTAATTGGACACTTTTAAATTCCTTATAACTTTTTTTGTTGTCAATATTTTTAATCGATTTTATGCTTATTTTTTAGCTCATTCAATTCTCTATTATGGCTAATCAACGTGATTCTATAATTTCACTTTTTTTGAAAAAAAATTCAGTCCGCAAAATTTCACCTCTTTTGAATGTCCCAAAGAGCACTGTACAATACACTTTCAAAAAATTCTGGTGAAAATTTTTTGGGAGAAAATTTTTTTGAAATTAATTTAGTAATGATGGCACAACTAAGAACTTACAAAAAAGTGGAAGACCGAGTACCGTCAGCACTTCCAAGAATATTAAAATGATCAAAAACTAGGTGCATCGCAATTCTCGACCCTCCATGAGAAAAGTGGCTCGTGAAACCGGAATAAGTGAGAGGACCGTCAGACGAATAGCTAAAAATAAACTAGGGTTAATACCCTACAAAATCCAAAAAGCACAACTGCTAACAGAAAAAACAAAAAAAGTTAGGCTTGCAGGATGCAAACTGCTCCTTCAGTGGCACGCATGTCCGGACATTCCCTTCTCAGACGAAAAAATTTTTACAATAAAAATCGTACACAACCATCAAAATTATAGAATCTGGACTACAGAATCTCCTCTTTCCGATGAGCTTATCACTCATTTCCAACATCCCCAATCTGTCATGGTTTAGGCCGGTATTTGCGCGTCAGTCAAAAAACCTCTTATTTTCGTGGATTTTGGTGTAAAAGTCAACAAAGACTATTACTTGCGAGAATTTTTTCAGCGTGTTCTGAAGCCTCGGTTCAAGAGCCATTTCGGTCGCAGAGTCTGGATTTTCCAACAGGACTCTGCTCCGGCACACAAAGCGAAAGAAGTTAAGGACTGGTGCTAGGCCAATTTTCCTGGGTTCATTAGCGCTCAGGAATAGCCGCCATACTCCCCGGATTTGAATTCGATGGATTATTCTTTTTGGTACATTTTGGAGTCCAGGGTCTGTGCTAAGCCTCAAAAAAGTTTGGAGTCTCTGAGCCATTCTCTCACCCGGGAGTGGGACTTAATTACACTCAAGGAGGTGCGTGCTATTTGCGAAAATTTTTCTTCGCGCCTTCGCCTCTGTATCAAAGCCAAGGGTGGGCATTTCGAAACTTCTTGATTATTATTGTTCCATATTTAATTCTCTATCATTTGATTGTATTTCGATTTTATTTGATTGTGTTTTAATAAAGTTATGAGAGAAAACATGTGTCCAATTACTTATGGTGCACCCTGTATTTTATATGAAAATTAAAAAAATTTTCCGTTTGGTGTAGTCGGTTAATTTTTAATTTTCAACATAAATAGGTCGAGGGTTCGATTCCCACTCGTGGAAAATAATTTATATTTGAAGGAAAAATAAATTTATTAGAAACCATTGATTTTTGTATATTTCCCATGAAACAAAAAATTTCTCGTTTGGTGTAGTCGGTTAATTTTTAATTTTCAACATAAATAGGTCGAGGGTTCGAATCCCACTCGCGGAAAATAATTTTTATTTGAAGGAAAATTAATTTTCTATTTATAATTTTCATTTTAAATTACTTAAAAAAATTTTTAGACCAAAATTATCGAGAAATTATAGAAAATTAATTAATTATTAAGGATTGGGTACAAAGTAGAGGTTAGTGGACTTGACTGGCCATCCTTAATCGACCACAACTTTTTTAGCCATGATCCTATCTAAATGAATCCTTATATCATTCTAAAGCCCTCGAAAAGCGGTGCCTTTTTCACAATTGGGTGGATCATGTGCGAATAATCATTAAAAAGTTATGGTTAATTAAAGGTGGCTCATTTAAGTACTAAAAGGGTAAAAAGATAATAATTAAGAAGAATAAAAAAACTAAGAAAACAATAATTTAAAAACTAAATTTGAAAAAAATAATTACGTAAATGCGCAAGGGAAAAAAATAAAATTAAAATTTAGAAAAACAATTAAAAAATACAAAATTTAAAAAATAATTGAAAAAATACAATAAAATCCCTCCCCTTAATAATAACAATTTTCGAACCTGAACTTTTTTTTTCTTCCCCTTTTGCTTCTTTTTATAAAATAAATTAAGAGAGCGAGAAAAAATTTTTTTAATTTAGAAATTAATTTTTTAAAATTTTTCAAGAATTTATATTTAATTTTATTTCCTCTCAAAAAAGAATAAAATAAAATAATTTTATTTAACTCGCTCGCGCGCATTTACGTGTAGGAGGGAAAATTGTGTAAAAAATCGTATAAAAAAGTACAAAAAAGAAAGAAAATGTGACGTTCAAAAAAATTTATATTTTAAATAAAAATATAAATATTTACATGTTAGATAGAACTTTTAAAAAAATTCCCTTCTTTCTCTATTTATTAAAATTAATTTTTTTTTAATAAGCTAAAAGTGCAATGCACTCATAAAGGATTTAAAAAGAAGAGAGGAGAAAGAAAAAAAAATTATTTACGTCTAATTTGGTGTCATTTTAAGAGGAAAAAAGACAAGAAGAATCACGATGAGACCCAAGACAATTACAAGAAAAAAAATTGAAAAAAACCTCCCTACAAGAGAACTCCGTATAGGGACATGAGGCGCAAAGCCATAACTAGCTTGAAAATTTTTGGACCTTAACAATTTTGGTACCAATCTGTTTGGCTCGACGAGAGGAATCGTTTAATACTAAATTTTGAAAAATTCGTAAATCTTGAAGCAAGTTATGGCTTTGCTCCTACTTAGCCCTACCCTTCCGTATAAGAGACCCGATACTTTCTGGATATCCAGACTCCTCCCTATGTTGTTTCTGAGTTATTCTTTTCCTTCTTCATGCCAATCTTGAAGCAAGTAAATCTTGAAGCAAGTTATGGCTTTGCTCCTACTTAGCCCTACCCTTCCGTATAAGAGACCCGATACCCTATTTATTTCTTGACCAAATATAACGAAAAAGGAAGAAAAAACTGATGTTCAAACTAGGGAGGCGGGATATCAAAACACCAAGACACACTCACTACAAGAAATCTCCCTATAAGACATACCCCCGGAGGCTGAAAAAAATCGTCTCTTAAAATGAATGTGCCCGAATAAAAAATTTTTAATAACAAAAATAAAAAAATAAACCAGCCTCTCTCAAAAACAACGCAAAATCAAAACATTTTCCAGTTTGGTGTAGTCGGTTAGTTGGTAGTTTTAAGGCAAAATAGGTCGAAGGTTCGAATCCCACTCTTGGAAATTAATTTTTATTTGAACTAAAATTAATTTTATTTTATAAATTATTATCTTACATTCAATTTAAAAAATTCTTTTTAATGTAAAAATTAACAAATAAAATTAATTAATTAAATATACAAATGTCTTTTATCAAAATTTCACATATTAAATATTTTTATTTATTTTCGAAGAAAAATATGAGGGAATAGAAAAAAAGAAAAGATAATAATTATGTATATAATTAAACTAAATTTATTATTAAAAAATAAAATACAATGTCGAATCTCAATTTAAACCCTTTTTTGGGGATTGAACACCAAAAAAGAAACCATAAGTAAAATCGAAACTAGAGCCCGGACAGGGAGTCGTACGAGGATTATCAAGATCTCGATAAATCTCAATTCTCGAAAAATCTCAAAAAAATGAAAATTTTATCTTCCGAGAATCAAGATCTCGAAAAATCTCGATCTCGATAACCGAGATTTCCATCAAATTTCGACTCAGTCCGGGCTCTAATTGAAGGTGTGCATTGAAAATCGAAGGCATCGCTTATAGGAGAATTTGGTAGGGTTGTCGGTTCTTACAAAAACTTCGGATATCCGGAACCGAACCAAAAAAATCCGAACAAAGAACCTATTGAAGAGATCCTCGGCTTTTGCCGGTTCGGCTCTAACATTGAGGACACCTTCTTTCATCCAGTGGCTAAACAAACTACCAAAAATAGTATGTAAAATTGAAGGATGTAGTAAAAATTAGGGGTATAAAAACCAAGATCCGACTGTATTTAAAATATTTAGAACAAAAGAAAAAATTTTTTGGGGGGGGGGGGGGGAAACATCCCTTAAAAATTTTTTTTTTATTTTTTATCCCAATCTACACTAATAATTAATTTAAAAAAATTTAAAAGGGAAAGAAAATATAATAATAAAAATAAAATTATTATATAAATATGTACCTTTTAAACATCACACTTACAAACAAAAAAAATTTTTTTAGAAAGGGCAGAGAAGGGTTAAAATTAAAAATAATAAGCAAAATTGCCCCTTAAAAATATCCTCTATTTCTCCAAAAAATCCAAATTAATTAAACCTTTATTTTTATTCTTCTTCCAAATCCATCAAAAAAATTTTTTTCTATTTGCTGTAAAATACACGGTAATAGAGACTGAGAATTAAAAAAAATTTTTAATTAGTCAAAAAAGAAATAAAAATCAAACGTTTTCGACCGCCAAAGAGAATAAGAATTATCAAACTTTAACAAATAAATTCCTCGTCCAGGATAAAAATGAGAACCAAAAAAGACTTCTTGATGACTGTCTTTACGAAAAGTCTGAAAAAAATTTTTTTTAAATATTTAAAAAATTTTTTAATAAAATTTCAGGGTGTTACCAGAGATGGGACTGATCACCCGAAAAAATTTTTCGAAACGAAATCCGATCTGGGTTTTCGAAAATACAATCTGGAACCCTACCCGACTTTCTCTCTCAAGTCCCCCTCTCCCCCTAATCTCCCTTACATTGTCCTTAACTAATTTACGTTGACTCGGTGATATGTCAGTTAGAATAGATTCTAGTCATGCACCTGAACATAGCGAGCAAAGTTTTATCTCAAAAAAGTTTCAAGTTTTCGACTTCTCCTACCCTTCCCTACCCGTGGAAGGGAGATAGGAGCCTCTTAATAAGCCTCCTCTTAAGTCGCTCAATTCGTACTTAAAGTAAAGAGTGACATGTCATTCACCCGAAAGTGGTCAACAAAATCTCAAGTTTTCGACTTCCAACTTCCCCTACATCAATCAGACTCCAGCGACTCCTTTTCCACCCCAGCCTCTCCTCCTTACTTTCTCATTATACTTAAGAACCCATAAATTAATTTAAAAAATTAACCGGAATAATTTCATCAATTCTAGGCTTATTCGGATCCACAGCTTTTTTAGCCGCCTCAGCTTCAACATCACCTCCTCCTTTCTTTTCAACATCACCACCACTAGCCTCAGCTTCATCCTCTTCATATTCATCTCCACTTTCATCAACATGGACTGTTACCTTTTAAAAAAAATTTTTTTTTGAAATTCTTGAAAAATAAAAAAAAACTTGATTAGTTTCAGCAACCGTCCATTCAAAATAAACGCCAAATCCAATGTCATAATAATCTGTACAAAACTCCCAGAACAACGAATTTCTTAAAAAATATAATTTTTCAATTTGAAAATTTCAAAAAAATTTTTTTTTAATTTTAAAAATCTTCTGGAAATTTTCTCCTTTTTTCAGATTTTGAAATTTGAATTGAACTTAGAATTTCAATTGAATTTTGAAAAAAACCCCGAGGAATAATTTTAAAAAATGAAAAAAAAATTTTCGGACAAAAACTTGCGGACAACATTTTTAAAAATTTCCAAAATTTTTTTCAAATTTTTTTCACAAACCCTTCAGGATGTGTTGGCACACGAACTGTAACAGTTTCTCCATGTCCTATTTTTAAAATTCCTTCAGGCCCTTCTTTTTTAATAGCTTCCTTAAATTCTGCCAAATTTTTGTTTGTCCAAACCGAGGCTGGGGCGACTATTGGATTTGCTGAAAAAAATTTTTTTAATTTTTAAAAGAAAAAAAAATGCCAAAAATTATACGAACCACAAAAACGACAAAAAATAATTTTAAAAAAATTTCAAAAAAAAAAAATACAAAACACAAGAAAAAAGAGGATAGAAAAGAGAAATAGAATTACTATGACAGAACATGCCCATTTGAGCGTATATGGAAGAAACTGAAAATTTTATAAAAATCGAATTTTTATGAAAAATTCTATGTAAAAATTCAGAATAAAAAATAATAATTCCAAATAATTTAAAAAGTCCCCAAAATACTTTTTTTTTTAAAAATTATAAAAAAAAGTTTCCGGGCAAAAAACATACAGGTTTAGAAAAATACCGAAAAAGAATCAAAAAAAATTTTTTTAATATTTATAAAAATCTTAAAATACCAAAAAATTGAGAAAAAAAATTTTCTGTAAAAATTCTCAGAACCCAACACTATTCCACATTAATTTAAAAAAAATTAAGACTTCGGACAAAAATTTTTAAGGAAAAAATTCTCAAAATTCTCACGAAAAAATTTTTAAAATTCTCTTTCCTAATAAAAACCCAAAAAAATCCCAAAAACCCCCTAAAACTTAAAAACAATCAAAAAATAATTTTTCAAAAATTTTTTCCTCACCAGGCATTTCTCCATTAGTGAAGTCTTCTTCATCCTCTTCCTCCTCGTCGTCTTCATCACTCACTTCAGAATCACCTCCTCCTCTACCTTCTCCTTCTCCAACTTCATTAACACTCTTAATTTTTGGTTTAGGCGAATTTTTCGCTGCTTTTCCAGTTGTTTTAGAAGGAAGGGCAGCTTCCAAATCCGAAACAAAATTTGAATTTAAACCTCCATTTGAAGTAGCTTGTGAAGCTGCTTGAGCTTGGGCATAAACTTGAGACATGTATTGTTGATAGTGTTGTTCTTGTAGTTGAGAAATTAAATGTTCTTGCTGGAAAAAGAAAGGAAAATTTTAATTTTTGATAGAAAAGACCAAAATGGACCAACTCAAACCAAAAGATCGAGTCAAGCCTAATATAAGAGAGTTCACCCCGATGAAGAGGAACATACAAATTTCTAAAATTTGTTGTAAAAGGAAGGGTATCTCATAATGAGGTCTCGAATAAAAATTTTTTTAAACGTCCAACTATATTTTAAAAAAACTTTCATAAAATGGAAAAAAAATTAAATAAAGTCGTTGCCTTGACAGCAAATATAAAAAGTCATAAAAATACAAAATTAAATTTTAATTATAAACTACTAAAATTCACTGACAAAAAGAGAACGACTTTATTCAAGCTAAAAAATTTTTTTCTTTTCAAATTAAAAAAATGAATCTTTTTTTATTGAAAAATGAACTTCCCATTACATAATAATAAAAAGTAAAACTTTTTGATTTAGAAAGTTAAACAACCAGAAAAAATTAATAAAATTCCCTTTCAAGATTTACATTTTATTGTTATAGATTAATCGAAAAAAAAATTCAAAAAAATATTTTTTTGTTTAAAAATAAAAAAAAATTTTTTAAAGGAACAAAAACAGAAGGAGAAAAAAATTTTTCCTAAAGATTAAGACTTTCAAAAATGAAGGGAAAAAATTTATTAAAAATTAAAAAAAAAACCCAAAAATAAAAAAAAAATTTTTTTTTAACTCGAAAAATTTTTCAACAAACCTTTTCAGGTTCTCCAGGATGTGTTTGTTGTGCATACGCCAAAAATTGATGATATGTTTGTTTATTTAATGCTTCTTGAATTTGTTGTCTTTAAAAAATAAAATTAAATGAATTATTCAAAAAAATTCCCAAAAAAACCTTTGCTGTTCAAATTGTTGCAAAATTTCTTTTGATTCAAGCGGGTCTGGAAGCATTCCTTTATTTGTTGTTAAATATGCATTGATGCTTAAAATTTAAAAAAAAATAAAAATTAAAAAAAATAAGGACATTTTATCCCACTTATTCAAGAAAAATATTTCTTCAAAAAAGAGCTGTTCGAATTTTCATTTTAGAAATTTTAAGGTTTTTAGCTTTCGATTTTATTAAATTTTGACCCCTTTTTTTGGTGATTTATATAAAGGATAATGATTCACCTAAAGCAGTTAAAACGCTTAGGCGGAGATTAAACATCTAAAAAGGATAAAAGAGAAAGCACTAGTTAATGCCCCAGTAACTCCTGTATGTAGTAGCTCCTCCATGTAGCTCAGCGGTAGAGCCCCTATTTGTGGTAAGCGAAAGCTCCTAGCAAAAATTATTGGGAGGATCGCAGGTGTATCTTGCCCGGTGGCTAAACTTTTGCTAAACTTTTTCTTTTATTCGATTCACGCTTTCGACAAAGTTTTATTTTGTTTCGAAACAATTCTGTCTGGAAATTAGGTCTAGATAAAAATTGATAAGAGCTGTCCAAGACTCTTGGGAGGTCTTGGTCTTGATTCAAAACTTTCTTGGACTTTTTTTGTTGGTGTTTTTCGGTTTTGGTCTCGAGTTTTAAAAAATTTCCGATTTTAGACAGCTCTAAAAATTGATATAAGCCTTCTTATTTTATCTTTTTACTTATATATTTTTTTAGAAAAAAATCAATAAAAAAAGTTTTTTTCAAGCTTACGACTCATCCAAAGAAATAAATAAATTACTTATTTTGAAGGAAGAAAGAAAACTTGTGTCTTCTAATTTACTTAAAAAAACATAAGGCATTTTTTCAAAGTAAAAAAAAAGGAAGAGTAAATGAAAAAGTGTCAGTCATGTATTGAGAGAAAAAATTGATTTAATAAAATTTGAAAAAACTTTTTTAAGGAAATTTTCAACACGTAAAAATACGAAGCCCAAAAAATCTCAAACCTTAGGAAAAATAAAAATGAATGCTCACAACATTGTGGGATAAAATGTCCATTTTCAGAAAAAATTTTAAAAATCAAAAGCCTTTGTTAAACAATTTTAAACAAGGTTCTAAAAAATTTCAAACCTTAGAAAAAAAAATAAAAATAAATGCGCCCTAACCATTATGGGATAAAATGTCCATCTTCAAAAAAATAAAAAAAAAATTAAGAATTTTCATGGATTTAAAAGAAAATTGAAAAAATTGTTAAACAAAGGCATATAGAAAAACCCCTATCCTCAGAATTTCCCCAAAAAATTAAAAAAAAATTAAAATTTCAACAAACATATTTCCACCACCTCCTTCCCCTCCAACATTTTTATCACTTGCAGAATTTGCCATTTTTGTAGTCATTTCAATTTTATGTTTTTGTTGTTGTTGATTTTCCAAAGAATTTCGAAATGTAGGACATACAGCATCCAATAAACGAATAAATTCTAACATTGCTTGTGGAACAGGTAATGAAGAAAATGTTTTCCAAACTTTTCTAAAAAAAAATTTAAACAGAAAACAGAAAAAGGTATAAATAAAATTTCAAAATTAGATTTATTATAGAAAATCTTTTAAGTTTTAGCCATAAAAAATCCAAAAAAAAATTGCAGAAAAAAAATTTTTTTTTAACCAAAAAAAATTTTCAAAAATTTTTTTTTAAAAAATCAACCTTATTTGTTAGAGAAAATGGGATAAAATGTCCATTTCAAAGAATGGGATAAAAAATGAGACATTTTTTTAAAAATTCTTTAAAAAATTTCATAAAGTTTATAAGAGAATTTTTCAAAAAATTTTTTTCAAAAATTCACAAAAATCTTTTTTCAACAAAAAATTTCTAGTTTTAAAAATTTAACCATTAAAATTCTCAAAATATATGTAAAAAAACTTAAAAGAATTCTTAAAAATAATTTAAAATCAAATTTAAAATAAAAAAATGAAACAAAAAATCCCCCAAACCAACCCCCCCCCCTCCTCTCAAAAAATCTCAATAAAATTAACAAAACAAAAAATAAAAGTTAAAATTAAACAAAAAAAAATCCCCCCCAAAAAAAACCCAATAAAATTTTAAAAAATTAACAACACAAAAAAATATACATTAACCAATAAAATGTGCCAACACAAAAAATAAAAAAAAATCTTTGACATCTTTTTAATGCATTTAATTCTTCTTCCCAAATTTTCCTTTTAAAATTTTTTTTCCTTAAAAAGCTAATAAGCCAAAAATTATTTGTTGTTTTTTCTTCGAAAAACATCGGTTCACTTAACAACAAAAAATAGAAAAAAAAGTGCCAAAAAGATCTTCACCCAAAAAAGTCTTTTCAGTAAATCTTTCCTATTAAATCTTCTACTCAACAAAGGATTCTCAAAAAAAAATTTTTTTTTTCTAAAAATTTGGAAAAAAAAAACACCAACATTCACTAAAAACACCTACAAAAAATTTCCACTAAAAGAAATCTTCTCGAAAAAAATTTTTTTCCCTAGCAATTTGGATGAGATGTCTACTACGGCTTCCTATAATTGACTTCTAATCTCCAAAAAAAAACTTCACAAAAAAATTTCACAAAAAAATTTCACAACAATTTCTCCTTAAAAATCTTAAATAATATTCTCCCCAAAAAAACCCCCTCAAAATCTTCCCTTGAAAAAATCTTCCTCGAAAAAAAAAAATTTTTTTTCTAACTACTAATAGGACAAATTGACTTCCCATTCCCTCCCAAAAAAAATTTAAAAAAAAATTCCTAGCTTTTCCTAAAATATTTCCTTCTCTTTTTTTCTTCCTCCAAACACCCCTCTCTAATCCCCTCCTTTCAAAAAATAAAACAAATAAAAATTAGTGTTAACAATATCTCCTATTGTTTACACCAAAGTGACACACACAAAATTTTAAAATAACTTTAAAAAAAAAGGAAGAAAAGCTCCTCTCTTTTTCACAACATTTTTTGGAAGGGGGAAGTGTCAATATTTGAAAAAAAAAAACACTTTCTAGTTATTTTTACTTTATTCTCCCTTGGGAAAATACAAAAAAGAAAAATATATAAACTGATGCCGTCAAAAAAAAAATTTTATTTCATTGTGGGACGAATTGTCTCATTTAAATAATTTTTAAAAAATAATTCAAAAATTTTTTTAAGTTATGGATTAAAAAAATATCTAAAAAAAATATTAGAAAAAAATCCTGAAAAAATGAAAACCCCAAAAACTTGAAAAAAATTCGAGAAAAAAATTTTTGTTTAAAGAAATGTCCAAAAAAATGCCTAAAAAATTTTCGAAAAAATATAGAAAAAAGCAAAATTTTTTTATAAGTTTATGAATTAAAAAATAAATATATTCAAAAATTTATATTGTATAAAATTTAAAATAACCCGAAATAAAAAAAAATAAAAATCGTCAATTACACACAAACACTCACTCACAATTCAATTTATTTCAATTTAACCTCTTTTACTTTCCTCTAAAAAAATTTTTTTTCTTTATTTTTTCTAGTTAAGTCTCAATTTATTAAATTTAAAAAGAAAAAAAAATTTCTTTTAAATTTTTGAATAGATATTTAAGGTTAAATTAACTCCTCCTTAACTCTTTCCTTCTTTTCCCTATTCAAAAAAGACAATTCAATTACAAAAACAATTGTAGCAAAATTAAATCTTATATAAAAGAGAAAAAAGTTCTTAAAAATCAAATATGCTTACTTAGGAATGAATTTCTGATTTTAAAAACAAATTTAAAAATAAAAAAATAAATTTAAAAAAATAGAAAAACTCTCGGTAATTAAATAAAAATGAAAAATTCGAAAAAATAAATAAAAAAAATTGAGGAAAAATAAAAAAAAGAAAGTTCTGTCTTAAAGAAAATTTACAGAAAAAAATTTTTTTTTTAATATTGAAAAATTTCTTCGCAATATTTTCGAAATAAAAATTTCTCAAAATATATTTTTCGGAATTTTCGGAATATTTTTATAAAAATAAATTAAATTTACCTAGCATCATTTCCAACCAAATCAAACCAACCACATTCAATTCCATCATCTTTGTAAGTACCATATTTTGCTTGTTTTGAAAGTGCAATAAATTTTAAACGATGACGATAATCAACAGCTATTGAACGATTCTTTTCTTGATCTAGAAAAAAAAAATTTTTTTTTTGTTAAAAATAAATTTCAACCAATACTCCCCCCCACAACCTCCCCCTCACAAATTAGCCCCATTACATAAAAGACCGCAAAAATGCTTCTACTTATCCATATAGGTCATTAGTTTATACGACACCAAATTACAAACAAAAAAATTTTTCTTGTTTACGTAAACCAACAAGCCAAACAAAAAAAATCTTTCTCGTTAAAAAAAACAAGGTTAGCAAAGGTGTCAAGCTTTTGTAGAGTGAACCGAAATCTCGAATCAGATACCGATTTTTTTAGAAGATAAATCTATGGCCTCCCAAATACAAAACAATAACGAGATAGACCCGAGCACATTGGCTTGCCACACTTGACAACCCTTATTTTACCTACGGGAAATTTTATATGGAAATTTCCTAAAAAATTCATGCGGATGACACGGTTACACACATTTGCCGAAAAATCACACAAATCATAATTAAGATAAAAACCTCTATAGAATGAAAGTGCCATCTTATAAGCTTCTTCTATTCCAAGCCCATACATTTCTCCAAGCGATTTTTCATCTATTTCAGGCTGTTCATCTTCAACGCCATAAAGTTTTTCATTCTCCATCTATACAAATTTAATCAATTATAAAACAATTAATTTAAGAAAACCTGAATGAAATATTAAAAATAAGCCACGGACAAGACAAATAAAATAAGACCAAATTAAATGTTAGAATAAAACCCTGTAAAACAGAAGAAAGCAAAAAAAACCGTAAATGTCCTAATAGAAGCCCACTCAATGAAATACATTGAAGAATAAAGGCCCTGACCCTCTGATAAAAGTCCATGTCTTATCATAGTGTAAAAGTCCACTCAAAGAGACGATAAAAAATAGAAGCTGAGGATTTCTATCAGGGATGGGCCGGGTTGAGAAAAAAGTTGTATCGGGTTTCGGTAACCACCTGGTCTCTATTAGAGATCCAATGAGGCCCATGAGTGAATCACTATTAAAAAACCTACCCAATGAGGCCCAGTGAAAAATAAAAGTCAATGGCCTATTTTAGATGTCCACTGATTGAGATTCAATGAAAAATAATAAAAGTTCAGGGCCTCTATTAGAGCATTCACGATCATTTAAAATCGTCATAATAGCTCAAAATCAATAACAAAAAATCAAAACGGCAATAGAACCGTGTGCAAAACAAATGAATTAAAATCAGAAAAATATTTTTTATTTAGACTCAAATAATCCAAAAATTTGACAACAACAAAAAAATTAAAATGCATTTTTCTTGGAATTCGTGGCGAAAAAAAAAATATAGAAACAGAAAAATAAAATCAAACCCGTCAATATTCACAAACTTGTTTTTTTAGATTGCCACGTCAAAAAATCTTCCAGTCAATTTCATTATTCTTCTTGGATGTCATCAATTCCATGTCCAGTTATCTCAAAAGTACATTCACTTTCTGGTAGACATGGAGAGTCATAGATCTTTTTTTGACGAAAAAAAATTTTTATTAGAGAAGGGAAGAATGTCGATTATTTCTACCCCTTTTTCACTCATTCCTGGAGACAAGAAAACGAGGGCACGAACAGAAAAATAAAAATGGGAAAGGTGGTTGAAACATGAATTCCCCAACAACCCTGAAGACAAGAAAACATGGGGCGGTCAAACTTAAATCCCCCGACTACCCTGTAGACAAGGAAACAAGGGAGAGGGGGATTTTTCAAACTTAAGAGTACTTGTAGGTTATCCAAAACCAGTTTTTGAGGACATATTTATGCGGACTCATTTTCTCTTCTCTTTATTGATGCTCTTATCGAAGAATGCCACAAAGAGAATTGAGTGAATCGAAAAAGGAAAAACATTTGACCTTTCCTTACATAAATGTCAGAATAAATATGTCCACAAAAACTGGTTTGGGATAACCCATAAGTACCAACTTAACTTCCCCGACACCTTAAAGTCAAGAAGAACGGCACTAGGACAAAAGGGTAGAAATAACCCACATGTACCAGTAAAAATAAAAAGATAAAAGAAAACCTTGCAAATTCGTTGAGGTCCTCTTCCCTTTCGAAAAAACAATCTAAAAATGAAAGTTCAAAAATCTAAAAAATTGAAAAAAAACCTTGTAGTCGAAGCATGAGCTAGTATATTTCCACCAATAGGCTTTTTAGGATCTGCTTGATACATATTACCACCATCAACTTGAGAAACTACTTGGTTTGTAACAACAACTGCAACGCCAAACTAAAATTTTAAAAAAACTAATGAAATTCTCAAGTCCCTTAAAAATTTTAAAAATCGATAAAAATTAAAAAATATACAAGAAAAAATTCAAAAACACTCAAAAGGGCTCGAACCCAACACCGAACAAACAAACGAACCAAACACTCTACCACTACACCACAGCTGAACTTAACATCTACCAAACATTAAACGACCATGTTTTGTTACCTAATTATTAATTCCCCCAATATCTCATTCCCAAAGATAAAAATTAATAGTTTTCATACTTCCTCAGCAAGCTTCATTAATCCACGTAAAAAGCACGCCAAATGTTGCTGTCTTGCTGACAATTCTCCACGGCCAGAATAGTCAGTTCTATACAGAGCCATTAAACTATCAACCACCACTAGAGCATATCGACATTCTGCCATCATTGCAGCCCCCTCCATTAGTAAACGCATTTGATGATCTGTGTTGTAGCAACGAGCATATGCAACGTTTTCTAATACCATTTGACCGTCTAATTTGTATCTAAAAATGAAAAAATAATTTTTTGGAGAATTTCCCGAAAGTTGAGGCCCAAAATTTGGCCTCTTCCCTAATTAAGGGATAGCCAAAATAAAATTACTGCCGGGTGGAACTGCAAAGGATCCCCAGTCAAAAACTCAAAAAACCTTTCCGCGACAGCTAAAAGTCTTTCAGGTCTAAAAGTTCCCTCTGTATCAATCCAAAGACATTTCCCTTCTGCACCTCCCATATCCACTGGAAGTTGACAAATAACAGCCAAAGTGTGGCACAACTGACTTTTGCCTGTTCGAAATTCGCCAAAAACCTTTAAAAGCAAATTAATTTCTCATAAAAATAATAAACAAAAAAACCTCTGTAATAGAACTCGTTTCAATTCCACCACCCAAAAGTCGGTTTAATTCTCGACTGCCAGTCTCAATCAAGATTAGTTGAGAGCGCTTTACATGGACAACACTAGCAAGAGTAAACGACATTGGAACAAGTTTCTTAGCTTCTCCCTAAAGAACTCAGGTCAGTCAAACTGAACTTCGTACCTCAACTTTTTTCTTCGTATATTGGAAAAATGGTCAGACGTAAAATTTATTCACCCCATACTCTATGGCAATAAGTACCCATTTCTGCTTTCAAGAAACAACACCAACGTTGGATGTGTGTACCAGTACTTCTAATAGGCTCAATTAATCCCATAAAATTTTTGTGCATAGAAAGATTTGCTGCTCACCCGTAGTTGTGGACTAATGGTTCTAAAAAAGCAGAGCTGGGTACTTATCGACAGTGAGTGTGGATTGGAACACCTCTTAAGTCTGCCCATATTAAAGTGTGGTACGAAGTTCAATTTTACCCTCATGTCAAAAAATAAAAAAAATAAAGTCAACAAACGTAGATCTTTTCAACTTTCTGTTCTCCAATTCCATTAACTTTCTCCAATTCCTTTCGGGGAGCAAATGCAACCGATTCGACCGTGTAGAAGCCATGAGCTCGAAGTTTTTTGATGTCATTTATGTGTATCCCGTGTTGCTAAAATATAAAATTGAGCTTAAACTCTTCAAAAATCAACCCAAACAAACCTCCAATTTTTCAATTGTCGTATAAGGCAAGGAAGTTTTTGCTTCAGCAGACTCACTGATTACGTCAACGATTGCGGCGGTGGCACTAGCTGCTGTCATTGCACTCATTGGTTTCATTTTTTGCTTTTGAGACATCATTTAACTAGAAAAACAATAAAAAAATGACAAAAAAAAATGAAAAAATGAAGAAAAAAATAAGAAAAACGAAAAAACAATCAACGAAAGTTTCCACCAAAAAAATCGAAAAAGGAAGCCATAATTTTAAACGATATTTTAACGCGCAAATTTTACTCTTTTTCTTTTCCAAAAAATTAACAACAGTCTCTCATCTTTCTGTTTTTCTCTAACTTCACTCTCTCTCCTATTTTTAAATTTTAAAGCTCTATAAAAGCATCGCGTCCGCGAGTCATTTAATTTTCTAGTGATTGAGATTTTCGAAAAGCACGAGCCTGTCCTGGGTTCCGGATTTGATTTATTGACCTGGGCGGGATCCTGCGCCTGTAGTAAAACCAGGAAAAATCCGAAAAGGTCAAAAGATGCCTGGGACTCTGGGTACAGGAAAAACCCCAGGCCTTGGCCCAGACCTCCGATTACTATAAATTTACCTTCTCTACAAAAACAACTTTAAAAAAATTTTTTTTAAACTTTCTCAGATAAAAAATATTTATTTTATTATTGTTTCACCAAAAAATGCTTCCAACATTTCAATCCTTTGACGACAAAAAAATTACAAAAACTTTTCCAAAACGCCCAATTAAATTACCCAAACAAATTGCTTCTAAAGCACCTCCAACTCAAAAAATGAAACAAATGAGTGCAATGACTACAGCTAGTGCAACAACAGCAATTGCTGATGTAATTAATGAGTCTGCTCCAGTTACTCAAAATTTAAAGGTTTTCATTTTTTTAGATTTTTTGGGACTTATTTACTCCCCCCTCCCCCAGTCAATTTTTTAACGCGTAAAAAATGGTCGGTCAGTCAAAATTGACAGGGGGAGTAGATAAGTACTGATATTTTTTATGACGGGGTGGGTCAACTAAATATTCCTTTTAAATTTCTTTTATTTTGTACTCCCCAAACATAATCCACCTATCTTGAAAATTAAAAATCAATTTTCCAGTCTACACCGCATCCTACCACAATTCCATCAACACCAATTTCTCATACTATCTTTACGACTACAGACTCCAATAACGATTGTGCTATGATTGAATCTTCTATCCAAGTGTCCGAAAATCGTTTAAAGGCTGTATATCTGCAATTTGAGGAGAATAAAAATAAAATTGTTGATTCTTCTCTACAAAGCAAAATTCATCGTTCTGGATCACTTACAAATGTTTTGTCAATCATTTCCAAATTTGAGATGAAAAAGACAGAAGTGGAAGTGGAATCAAAATATCTTGAGGAGGCAAAACAAAATTATATTCAGGCTTTGGCAAAATATGATAAGAAGACTATTGAAGCCTTAAAAGAAGTTGGCAATATTACTGAAGAGTTTAATGGTTTAATTTTTGTTAAATAAAAAAATTTGCGGACAATCCGCAAAATTTTTGCGGACATAAACTTTGTCCGCAAAACTTATTTTCGTAAATTTTTATACCAAAAAATTTTTCCCTTTTAAAGATTTAATTGTCAATTTGGAAAAGCTTCCCAGCACCAGTCAAGATAACAATTTAAATAAACAACCTATTACGGCTGATAAGGTTCTTTTTTTAGTTTTGAAAAATTTTTTAATTTTTTTAGGAGGTTCAAGCTTGCCCTCCTCGTGTGTTGTTCAAATCTCCTTCAGCTGAATTTCTTCCTACAATGCAAATGTATTCATTTTATATATTTTTTTTAATTTTTAATAACTCTTTTTTTTAAAGTGTTCCTCTTCCTCCATCACCAATTTTACGAAGCAGCATTAAATCCAAGAATGTTCCAAAAGGAAATGTTACACCTATATCGTTTAAATTCTACAACAAAGAAGATTAAAGAAGAGGCGGTAAAAAAAATTATTTATTTATTCTTTGTCTCATTTTGGATCAGAACTGTTTCGAAATTTCGATTTTCGAAAGGGGTAATACTCTTCGCTAGTTTAATAAAAATTCCGGTTCGGATCCGGATATAGGAAAATTTCCTAGGATACGCCAACCCAATTCCTAACTACGAGCGACAGCTGAGCACCAAACATATCCACCAAAACACCGGCGAATTATCTTCAAATTTTTTTTCGGTTTCCGTTTTTTTCAAAATTTTTTTGTTTCGAAACAGTTCTGCTTTTGACCAATTCATTTATTTATTTTTAAAACTTCGAGTAGACACATAAAATTTGCTTTAAAAAAGAATTTCAAAAATTTTAACTCCAAATTTTGCCAAAAAATTTTTTTCAAAAAATAATTACGGATTTATTGACATTTGCGGACATCCGCAAATGTTTTGCGGACATTTTTGTTCAACTTTTCAAAAATATCAAAAATTTTTATATATGAAAACGGTGAGTGAAAACGTGAAATTTTTTTAAAATTATTTTTAGGACTAAAACAAAATATATAAAAACCCCCAAAAAATATTTTTTACTTCCCTTTCAAAAGTTTTTAAAACTCATTTTCCACTGCTTCTATTTGCAGAATTACTAGAATGTTGTTGTTGTTGAGGCAGTACATTTAATCCAAGTCTTTTAGCTTCACTTTCATAAACTATTAATCGCCATAATTTTACTGTAAAAACTTCTGCTTCGTCGTCGAGTACCTTTAAAATAAATTTTTTTGAATAAAAGAGGCCGATTTTTTATTTACTAACCCTCTCCATACAAAAAATTTTCGCGTTTTGAGGACGCGAAAATCCACTAGATCAACACTTGAGAAAATCCTTCCTGGGTTGTCTCTGAGGTAATTTGATCTCACTCGAATTATCCTTTAGGGGTTGTCCTCTAAAAAGTTAACCATGTAGGTTTATCCCCTTAAATGAACAGAGAAAACTTCCCCAAACCTCCCCACCCCTTCCCAAAAAAAATTTTAAAAAACCATTGAAAGATCAGCCAAAATATTATCAGGAGAAGCTCTTGAATCAATTTTTTCACAAATAAAAGAAACTAAAGACGGCTCTTCTTCACCAATATATTCACAAATTTTTTTATTAATCCATGGACGAACTCTTGAATCCATTAATTGTTTGTCCAAAAATTCCCAACTTAGAGAAAATGCAAAAAGTTGTTCACGTTCTGTTGGAATTCGAGTAATCAAATCTTTTATAAGTTTTTTTCGTTCTTCTGGCGTCAAAGATTGAATACGATCCTTAAAAAATTTTTTTAGAAAATTTTTAAAATTAAAAAATTTCAGACAAATGGCCAGCAGGGGCTAAAAACGACAATTTGCCAAATGACAAAATGTCACACCCCGAATAAATTGACAATTTGTCAACATGAGGTCTGACAAAAGGCTTATAAAAATTTTAAAAAAATTTTCAAAAAAAAACCTCTCTTGTAATTTCAAACGGCTTAATTTTCTTCTTAATTTGATGTAAAGTATCTTCCTCTTCTTCATCTTCCTCAAAAAGACCATTTACTGGCTGAATTGTTTTTTGTTGTATTGTTGTTATTATTGGCTTTTTAACTGGTGATGGACTTGAAGTTTCGTCTTCTTCATTATTAGGTGGAGGAAGTGGCTTATCTTTTTCTTTATTTTCAACACCATTTTTATGAGGACGTCCGGGAACTTTAAAAAATAAAAAAAAATTTTAATGGCCTTAATACAACGTGCCTCACTAAGATACCCTCTAGAATTAGGTACTATGCCCTTCTAAAAATTAGGTTAGCCACTAGGGCCCCACTCCTTAAATTTGACCATCTACCGGGATGGGAGCGGGCCGGGATGGGAGCTGCCTCCTCCTCCTCCTTATAGCTGCCTCCTTACGGAAGGTATCATTCATTACAAAATACCATTTTTAGCCCCAAGGGTGTATCTACATATAAAAAAGACCCGACTCCCCCAAAAACAAAAAAAAAAAAAATAAATAAAAAACCTGTCTCCCAAATCTCCTTTACTTGAGTCGTTTCCTTCTAAAAATTACAAAATTTAATAAATAGCGTTAAAAAAATTAAAAAAAACCTCTTTTTCCTTTTGTTGTTGTAAAAGTAACTTTTCCTGTTCTTCCTTTTCTTTAAGTAATTGTTTCTTAACCTCTTCCATTTCACGTTTCTCTTCATGTCTATCTTTAGCATCAGCCTCACGTTCGCGTTCATAATTTCGACGACGTTCAAGTAAGGCAGAACCTCTTTAAATGCAAAAAATAAAATTTCAAAATAGTCAAATAGGGAAAAATACGCAAAATAAATTTTAAAAAAGTCTAAAATGATGCCAGAATATTTTTATTAAATTTCCCAAAATTAATTCCTCAAATTAAAAATTATTCCAGACTAACGTGTTCGAACCCATGACCTCCTAAAAATCAAAACTAAAAACTTTCCTACTTAACCAAAGCGACAAATAAAAAAATTAGATGATCCAAAAATATTTTACAAAATTTTCAAGCCAAAAAGGGATCCTTAAAAAAATGTTCGCAGCTGCAGAATTCGAACCCATAACCCCTCACCCGCAAATCATAGAACCTTACCAACTACACCAAACCAACATTGAACCAAATCAACAAATAAAATAATATAAACAAACTTGTAATATTTCAAATCATCTCTTTCATCAACATAATCTTCCAAAAATTGTCTAAGTTTTTTAGCTTCCTTATCAATAGTCTTTTTTCTCTGTACTTCACTTTCACGATCTTTTGCATATTGTTTTGCCATTCTTTTTTCTCTTTCTTCCCATTTTTTTAATCTTGTAATATACGATTCTTCACGTTCTGCCAATTCTTTTTTTAAACGACGCTTCTCTGCTAGAACATAAGAATCTTCTGAAGAAGGTGTTCCTCCTTTACGATGACGAGATGAAGTACTCTTTTTTGGTGATGGATGTATTGGTAGTGTGGCTGTTGAAGAACCGGAAGAAGAATTTGAATCTGATGAATGTCGTCTGGATCTAAAAAATGGAAGGTGTCCGCAAATTATTTGCGGACACTTCTTGCGGACAATATCAAAAATCAAAATCACTACGTTAGACAGAGAATAGAAGAGCATAAAGTCTATCAAAACAAGGACTGCCCCTTGTCAAAAAAAGTAATAAAAATAAATTTGTCCGCAAGAACTGTCCGAAAAAAAGTTGTCCGCAAAAAATTTTTTTGTCCGCAAAATTTTTTTTCAAAATTTAAATCAAAATTAAAAAATAAATAATGTTAAACCTTTTAGAATGCGATCCATCATGTTTAGAATGTCTACTTTTTGAAGAGCTTCGCTTTTTCTTCCCAGATGGCGAAAGAGAATGTTTACGCTTGTGTACCTGAAATAATAAAAATTGCACATTTAAAACATAAAAAAATTTTTCCTAAAAATTAAAAAAAGGGGAAGGGAGAAAAAAAATATTTTTTTAATCCAAACGATTTTTTTTATCTCTTTACACTTACAACCAGCCTGAAAAAGTGCATCTCTTGATTAACAATATTATATAAATTCGCATATTTTTTAGTTGATTCTCTTTAATTTTTTGGAGAATATTTCTGTGAATTTATTTCGAAATTTTTTAAGAATAAAATATATTTTTTAAGCTCACAAAAAGTGTAGAACATTTTGCCAATATATAAATATTGAATAAAATTTTGGCTCTGGTCTAGTTTATGAGTTCAATGAGCTATGGACTCTTCATGCCTCATAGATCACCATTAGACCCATAAACTACCCATTGGACTCGTAAAGCATCATAGGGCTTATAAAGTCTAATTGGACTCTTGAAGGTTCATTGGACTCATAAACTAAACCACATAGCTTAAATTTTTTACTACCTCATTTTTGCAGCACAATTACGATAATAATATATATAATAAAAATATCTCAAAATCGACTCAAAATATTTTTTTTGTATTTTTAAAACTTTTGAAACTTACCACCAAATGAAGTTTGCTTTAGATCAAATGACACAATTAAGAAGCAAAAATGTGTGTATATGTGATATCACAGTCTCCCCTAACAATAAGAACATACCAGAAGAGAATAGAGAAAGAAATGATAGAGAGGAAAAAACAGAGATTTTTAATGAAGTTTCAAAAAATTTTTGAGATAAAATGATACAAAATGAGAGATTAAACAAGAGAAAAGAAAAAAGAAGTTGAAAGAAAAATTAACAAACCTTAGAAGTTTCATCATCAACTGGACTTTTAGATACAACATCCTTTTGAGATCCATCTTTGGTGACTGCATCACCTTTTAAATTGGATACTTTAAATTAAATTCAATAAGCCATGAGTGTTTTCTGATAAATTGGTTACGAAGACTGGTCAAAGATTAGGAGGTCTACAGGGATCAGGCTGACGCTCCCTATTGAGAGGGGAAGCGCATTAGAGGTAACCCCCGTACTACGGTCCAGGACGGTATCAACTCGTCTCGGTTTCCACGATTTTAGTCAGGGAAGTGGTTCTTGGTCCAAGAATAAATGGAGGAAGCTGCAAAATCTTATGGTTTTCCCTTTGTAGAACTTTTTTTAAAATAGAAAACAGATGTTACAAGAGAATTCACGAGTGTGTCCAGGTCCGGACCTCAAAGGTAAGGTATGGAAAAAATCTTAAAGAATTAAAAACTAACCTGCTACATCATCTTCCGGCATCACTTCAAGAATTCCTGGAGCTTTTTTCTCAATAACTGCCTTTATTGCTGCTCTAAGCTGTTTATCGTCTTCTTCAGGATTTATTGATTTTGGCGTCCCAGAGTCCATACCAAGCAAACGTGTTTGATTCTCAGCAAATTCTTTCAAGTATTTTTCAGTAGCGTCATCAACCTAGAAAAAACCAAATAAAATCAAAAAATTAAAAAAAAAACATACTTTAACGTTCAAACGTTTCTCGCCAAGAGGATAATCTTTAAGCACTCTTAATGCTCTTCTGGTACCATCAGGGTGAACAAATTCACAGAATCCAAAAGCTTTGAAGTTTCCATTAGGATCTTGAAGACGTTTCCAGGTATGGACAGTTCCGCATTTCTAAAAAACAAAAAAAATCAGTGTGATTTAGGTTATGATTTCTGCAGGAATGTATTCGTCCTATAAATGTCCTTACTTGATTCTCTAATTGTAAGGATAATAATTAGGGGTTTCGTCTGTGGGGGCTAAAATGTCCTTAAAATACGCATATTCGAGACGCCACAGCAAGGGACAGCCCTATTTTTAATGTATGCCTTTAGTTCTGTAACATCCTTGCTGTTATGTTCATATTACCATGGGACCTATGGCAATCTTCTTGTTATTGATTAATTAAAAATAGTTTTCAACAGGTACTTAAATCAATCAAATAAAATTTTATGGGACTTATACACTCCAACCCACACCCTCCTAAACCAAAACAAAAAATCTTACAGAAAAAAACTTACTCCCAAAATTTCTTGAATAAGACTATCCTCGCATAAGTCAGTAATATTACCAATAAAAACAGTTGTGACCGCAACAGGTTTAACAGGCGGGACGAATTGAGTTGGCGGCGCTTCTGCCTAAACTTATTTTTAAAAATAAGAAAAAAATAAAAAAATTTAAACCGGTCGTCTCACAAACGGTCGAAAATTTGGTCTTAAGGTCAATTGAACCCCTCCAACTATAGGCAACTGTGGAATCTGCATTTGCATAACTTGTGGAGGCATCGTTGGTATAGTTGTTTGGGGTGAAAAGAATCCAAATTTTTGTCCTGTAAATTGGCCTAAAAAAGAAAAATGAAACAAATTCTTCAAAGATTACTAAGAAAAAACCTGGCTGATTAGGCTGTGGCATTCTCGGTGCCATCATTGGATTGTTGTAAGGTGGAGGAAATGCCATACTTTTTGACAAAATAAAAAAACTAATACTAAAACAAAATTAATCAAAAAACGTGTAGATTTAATCAGAAAAGTATCAAGAAAAGTGACCTGAAAAGATCAAATCAATGGAAAACTCAAAGTGTAGGGTAGACATTTGCACTTGAGAAGACTCAAAATACAAGAAAAAATAAGAGAAAAACAAAATGAGAAATAGTGTAGAAAAACAATTCAATGGGAAAACTCAAAGGGTTCCATCATATATGACCAAGACGACATTTTGCCAATGAGGGTAAAATCGCACGTTTTGCCAATAACTTTGTTGACGAAATGTGTATTTTTAGCCTTGTTGGCAAGATGTGGAATTGGTCAAATATGTGGAGACGCAATAATAAACTCAAAGTGTAGAGGTAGACACTTGCACTCGAAAGATAAGAGAAATAAGAGAAAATAAAGAAAGACAAAACGAGAAATAGTACAGGAAAACAAGAGAAAATCAAAAACAATTAATACTAGTTTTAAAACACCACAAGAGGGAAATATTACAAAATACCAACTAACTATATTTAAATCAATATCTCTAACAAGTGTAAATAACACACCTGAACCTTCAAATTTTTCAAAAATTTTCTCAAAATTTTTTATGCAAAAATGTTAAATCAGAAAAAAAATTTTTTTCTTATCGAAAAGCAGAAGAGGAAGAAGAAGTACTTGGTTTCATACGTCCCCCAACACCACTACTATTACTATTAATAATATTACTACTATTCAAACTTTCATTAAATTCCAATGAATCATCACCACCCACTTGTTGTTGTTGTTGTAATTGTCCTTTTTCATTTTTAACATCAAAATATAATCCATTAACATATCCCTGGACATGATGTGACAACATATCCAAAGTATTTAAGATTGCCTGGTCAGTTTCATAGGACGCTTCATTTAATGTGTTTACTACCAAATCTTCTTTGATTACATGTTTTCGTTGATTCCTTTTTTTGTTAGAGACGACTTGTGAACGAATATTGTCTCGTTGCTTTTCAAAATCATCCCAAAATGATAATATCCAATTTGGCAATGAAGATAATTGCTTATTATTGGCTTGCTAGAAAAATCTTTTTTAATGAAAAATAGAAAAGAAAACTGTGTGGGATCCCCTAAGACATTGGGGGCTTATAACTCGGTCCCTGGTATTCCGCAGCGAGAATGGTGAAAATTTCACAAATAAAGTAGGGTATGATCTATTTGTCTATCAAATTTCATCCCGAAGTCCCACGGACACCCCTAGGCACTCTCCGTTGTAAGGGAGAATGTGAGACATGCGGTTAACAAACATGCGTCTCAAATATAGAGATGTATGCACGTCTTCTATTAGCCCCCAAACACCAAAGAAAAATGTATCAGAATTCAAAAAAAAACACTGAAATCTCTTGAGAATTAATAAACCCTTTTATTGGACTCATAATTTCCCAAAGCTCTGGCATGGCACCACACGGGAAAGTAACCCTCACCTAAAATGCCTTCACCATCCTCCTCCCCACTTTTTTACTTAAAAAATTAAAAAAAAAACCTTAATCTGTAATTGTGCCATTTCCATAGCACAATTTGCATTAACCAATTCCGTTGCGACTCTTTCACTAATACTCCAAAATTCCAAAGGACAATAAGGACGATGACGCAAAGGTTGCAAAAATGGAGGTGTTTGATTTGTAGTTACAATAATTGTTGGAGAAGAATGTGTTGGTGGTGGCGGCATTTCATAGCGTATATGTTGTTGAGTATAATCTTGGTAACCGACAGTTGTTTCTATAAAAAAAAACTTATTGTTAACTTAAAAAATTTAAGAGAGCCTTAACTTCAACCCAAATTTCTAGTCTATTGTTTTTACTATTATACTAGAGATTGGAAAACTGAAAAGAAAACTTGTTCCTTTACCTTTAATTAATAAACCTGGACCAAAAAAAGCAAGTTCTGGATCCGAAGTCAGGCTCCTAGGAATTTGGCTCCCATTCTAAAATCTCCCCAATATTTTATACTTTAAAAAACCTTCATAAACGTGTTCCTCCTCAGGTCCCGAATAAATTAGATTTTGTCCAAAATTTGATCCAAAAGCGGCTGCCTTCATTCTAAATTCCTGCTCTGTCAGTCCAATAAAAGTTTGTTTGAAATAAAAGAAGAATTCTGCCAGTTGTGAAAGTCTGGCACCTTCAACAATTTTGTAGAATGCACGGTTAACATAAGCCATTGGAATAAGCGCAAGACAAATCAGTCGTCTAAAAAATATTTTGAGAAAAATTTAAGCATTATTTTAAGACTATCATGTAAATATTTTAACGAAAATTGTAGAAAAATGGTTTGAAAGGCAAGAGACTCGAACCCTCAACTACAAAGCAAGTGGTCAAATACTTAACCCACTACACCACAAAAATAAATTTTAGAGTGTGAATAAGGGACATACCAAAGGGCCTCCGGGTAACCACCCTAGTCAAAAAAAATTTAAAAAAAACCGAAATGTCATCCTCGCAATATTTCCAGCTTGACTTTTCTCATTTCCATAAATAACTCCAAGATTATATTCAGACCATTTTTTAAACAATTCCTGAGCAAATCGAAAGTAACATCCACTTATATGGGCTTCTGGGAAAACTTTTTGTGCTGCAAGAACCATAGTATTTTCAAAGTCCGTAATAACTAAAATAAAGAAAAAGATGATAAAAACCAAAATGAGAAAATTTTAATTTAATCAGCAAATATTTGCGGACAATATTTGCAGGGAAAAATATATGTGAAAGCTCTTTCTATAGCCATAAGATCATACCTAATCTTTAAAAATAATCCACTAAACATAGAATTAGCCTATTTTCCCCAGTCAAGCTCATATTTAAACTGTGATTTCTAATCCGCCTTATCTGCAAAAAAATTTTTTGTCCGCAAAAAATTTTTGTCCGCAAATCTTCGTCCGCAAAAAAATTTTTTGTCGCAAATATTAAGACATAAAACCCTAATTATAAAAACCATAAAAATATACTTCTGCGAGGTTTTGTCGGCTTAACAGGACCAGCAACAGCATCCATGGCTTCCATATAAAATGATTCAGAATTTTCAGTCAAAAGTGCATGTGCCGCAACAATTAATTGGCCTCTAACAATTGTTCCAATAACAAAAGAATGTTTAAAAGGGGATGGGGCCAATTTAAAAGATGCACCAATTGTCCAAGTTGTTTGACCAGCAAGTTGTTGAAGCATCTAAAATTTTTGATAAAATTTTTAAAAAATCAAAAAACAAACATATGGATGTGCAAACACAAAAACTGCATTTTTTTCACGCGCCCGAGCAATTCTCGAATCATACAAAAATATTGACTGTCCATTTCTTTCCGTCAATGTAAGAGGTAATACAATCGATACAATATCAGAATCCTTTTTTGGAGTAAATTTTCCATAAAGCTTTATCTTTTCTCTAAAAAAATTTTTGGGAAAATTAAACTTTGATTGATAGAAGTTAAAAAATTTTAAAAGAAAATGAAACTGAAGGAAGGCTGAAGTGGAAGGAAAACCATGAATGAATTCTTGTCCACTGTCACATCACGGCTTCTCCAAAAAATGAGGAAAAGACAATGATCAGAACCCGTTCTTAGGGAGAAAGAGGACTATAGGGAAAAAGACTAAGGCCCGTTCCCATGGGAGAAAAATGACCAGATCCGGCTCCTAGGAGAATAAAGAAACGACCATATCACTTTTCTATCTATAGGATTTCGGTAGAAAAAAATACAAAAAAATAAACCTTTGAGCTAAACGAGCAAGAGAAGCATCCGATCCCAAAGCCACAAAAGTTTCATCATCGCAACCAGATCGAATACTTGCAACAAGACTTGCTCCACTCAAAGTAGGATCTTCTCTAGCTCGTTGTTTTAGTTCCTGCCTTTTAATTTCTGCCAATCTTTGCTCTGGTTGTGGCAAATGATTATGCGTATATTTGAGTCCTCCAATTATTTTCCCATCTTCTTGTTCCAATGCAAATGCTTTTGCTGAACATCGACGGTTACTACAACGCCAATAAGTATCATAATGTTTGTAACCACGATGTCCAAATCTAATGTAACGATAACCTTAAAAATTGGGATCAAAGTTTTGCGGATAAATTTTGCGGACAGAAATAGAAGAGCAAACAAACCTAGGGATGGATCAGAGAAAATACCGAGATGTGTTTTGAGTCGAAAAAAGCTCGGGTTTCGGTTACCTTCATCCATGAAATCTGGACGAGTTAAGAAAAAAGTTAGTCAAGTAACTCGTCCAACAACCCTATAGTTCGAGACAAAAGAGCTCGGTTTCGGTAACTCGTTTTGGACGAGGTACAGAAAAGGGTAGTAGTAAAACTCGTCCAACAAAACCTCTAGTACAAACATGGATGAGTTACTTGTCCTCAAATCCAGGACAGGAATCCCACCAGACGTTAGAAGAATTACTAGCCCAACCTGATGACGTCACCAAACCCCCTATAAATTAAAAATAAACTAACCGTTGTACCAAATACAAATAGATCCCTTGTTAGTAAATCCTCGAGTAAATTCAACCTCATCCTCTTCTTGATCAGTTACAGCAACTTTAGGTATTACAACTGGATCTACAACATCATCCACAACAATATCCTCCATTTCGTCAACTTGTTCATATTTTGGTGCTGATCGTTTACGAGTTGAACGGCGTTGAATTTGCTCGAGTTTTGGGCGAATTTCACTACTTGGACTTTCTTTAATTTCTGTTTGGTTTCCCATTTAAAAACAAATTTTTTTAATCTGAAAACTAAAAAAGCGGATTAAACGAAAATATAGAAAAATATTTCATTGAGTTTTTGAACAAAAAACTTTTCTAAAATTCTTTAAAAAAATTTTTTTTACATTAAAAATTTAAATAAAAAAATAAAAATAATCATCTTAATCCAGAAGTACTTTGTTTCATACGTCCACCACCACTTCTACTTTTGTTCAAACCTTCACTAAATTCCATAGAATCATCACCAGATTTTCCAATTTCTTTAACGTCAAAAAATAAACCATTAACATAATTTTGAACATGATGAGACAAAATATCCAAAGTATTCAAAATTGCTTGGTCCGTTTCGTAAGAAGCTTCATTTAAGGTAGCTATAACCAATTCTTCTTTTATTATATGCTTTCGAAGATTTCTTTTTTTATTATTTGAGATAGTTACTGCACGAATGTTGTCTCGCTGTTTCTCAAAATCGTTCCAAAGTGCAAGAATAAAATCAGGTAATGAAGGAAGGAATTTAGAATTATGCTAAAATAAATTTTTTGATAAACGTGTAAATTAATCTATCGTTAGCAGGAATGTCTCGAGTTAATAAAAAAGTTGAGCTTTGGATCGGAGTTTCAAAATTTCTTCGGATCGCGGGTCTGGATGGAAAAAATTCGAACATCTCTTATCCCTAAATTCGAACATCTTCGAACATCTCTTATCCCTAAATTCGAACAGCTCTTATCCCTAGTTTAACAAATAACAAGTTGGGGCAGCAAAAAATTAAAGAAAGCTTGACAGGAAACGAACCTTATTTACAATGGAACATCTCGAATTAAAAACTCCGACCCAAAGCTTGTCACCAAAAATTTATTACTTTTTTCCACCATCGTGTAGAGGAGGGTCAATCCCCTTGTTAGTAGAATTGGGAGAACATCCTTCCAACAAAAAATGGGGTAAACAGAAAAGTTAATGGACCAGTGGAAAGACAAAAGAATTTTTATTCCTTAAAAATTAATTCACAAAAAAAACCTTGGAGCTAGTATGTAATTGTGCCATTTCCATAGCACAATTTGCATTAACCAATTCTGTTGCGACTCTTTCACTAATATTCCAAAATTCCAAAGGACAATAAGGAAGATGACGCAAAGGTTGCAAAGATGCTGGTGTTGCTCCAATAATTGATGAAGACGAATGTTCTGACATTTCATAGTTCAAATAATCTTGATAACCGACAGTTCCTTCTAAAAAAATATTTTCAAAAAAACATCAAAATTAAAAAAAACCTTCATAAACATGTTCTTCCCCTGGTCCCGAATAAACTAAATTTTGTCCAAAATTCGATCCAAAAGCTGCTGCCTTCATTCTAAGTTCCTGCTCTGTCAGTCCAATAAAAGCCTCCTTGAAATAAAAGAAGAATTCTGCCAATTGTGGAAGTCTAGCAACTTCAACAATTTTGTAGAATGCTCTGTTGACGTAAGCCATTGGAATAAGTGCAAGGCAAATCAGTCGTCTAAAAAACATTTTTAGAAAAATAACAACATCTACATCAATTCTCTCTAACCACCAACTATATGTCAGAGAAACGAACCCACTGATCCACGAATATGAAAACTAGTGAACGGAAAAACAGATTTAACCGGAACCGGATTTGCAACTTGAACTGGAACGGATCCGGTCGGATTTTTCGGATTAATCTAGTCCGGAAAAAATCCGGAGATTGCGAAAAAAAACTCGGATTTGGGATCCGAACTCCAGAAAAATCTGGCCGGATCCAGTTCCGCTCACTAATAAAAGCCAAATGTCACCTAGCCCACTAAACCCGACTAACTCAATAAACCACAAATCTCCCAATCCACTACATTACAAAAAATAAAGTAAAAAACCGAAATGTCATCCTCGAAATATTTCCAGCTTGGCTATTTTCATGACCATAAATCTCCGCAAGATTATATTCAGACCATTTGCGAAACAATTCTTGAGAAAAACGGAAATAACAACCACTCACATAGGCCTCTTGAAAAACATTTTGTGCTGCTTCAACCATCACATTTTCAAAGTCCGTGATAACTAAAAATAAAAAACAATGTAAAGTTTAATCAGTAGCTAATTCAAATGAGCTATTCTATTTTTTATATGATCGAATTTCTGACCTCAAACAACCATCATATAAATCCATAATTACAAAGGACATCCCCGAACTATATACAGATAAACTACTATATTTCCTATCGTTTAACGGATGGCCAAAAAACTGACTTCATCGTCGCAAATCTGAAAGGTCACAGGATCTAAAGTGAGGTTAGGGGTTTTCAAGTCGGGCCGACGTTCAAGTCATTTTTTCGGGCCGGCCCGACCGAGTCTTTTTCGGGCCAAAATTCAATGCCCGACACGATCTTTCGAATCGGGCTCCCAACCCTAATCTAAACCCAAAAAATAAAAATATACTTCTGCGAGGTTTTGTTGGTTTAACAGCAGCAGCAATAGCATCCAAAGCTTCCATATAAAATGCTTCAGAATTTTCTGTCAAAAGAGTATGTGCTGCAACAATTAATTGACTTCTTAAAACAGTTGCAATAACAAAACAATGTTTAAAAGGGGCTGGGAGCGGTCGAAAAGATACACAGATTGTCCAAGTAGTTTGACCAGCAAGTTGTTGAAGCATCTGAATTTTTTTATTAAAATTTTTAACAAATAAAAAAAACAAACATATGGATGTGCGAACACAAAAACTGCATCTTTATCACGAGCTCGAGCAGTTCTCGAGTCATACAATAATATTGATTGCCCATTTCTTTCGGTTAAAGCAAGTGGCAACTGCATAGACATGACATTTGAACCCTTTCTTGTATTGCCTTTTCCATAAAGCTTTACTTTCTCTCTGAAAATAAGGATAAATTCTTGATAAAAGGAAGAAGGCAGGCCAGTCTACCACAGAGCAACACCAAATGATTCTGACCCCATTTTAAGTTAGTAGTGTGACAAGAGACGTCGAATCATACCAAAATAGAGACACGAATTTTAAAGTCCTGGTAGAAGCATAGGTCGGAAAATCGTGTTTGCGGGACCCCGCATGCGCGATTATTTTTAAAACTTTGCGGGACGGGATCCCGCAAAAACCCGCGCGGGATCCCGTCCCGCGCCGAACTCTAGCTAGAAGTTCTGTGCTAGACTAGAACACCCTAGTTCCAAAAATACCCAGAAAAATGAAAAAGCAAACCTTGAAGCCAGCCGTGCAAGTGAATCATCTGATCCCAAAGCCACAAAAGTTTCATCGTCAATTCCAGCTCGAATACTTGCAATAAGATCACCACGCCTTAAAGAAGGCTCTTCTCTTGCTCGTTGTTTTAGTTCTTGCCTTTTAATTTCTGCCAATCTTTTCTCTGGTTGAGGCAAATGATTATGCATATTTTTCAATTCTCCCATTAATTTCCCATCTTCTGTCTCATATGCAAATGCCTTGGCTTGACATCTTTTGCTACTACAACGCCAATATGTATTGTAATGTCTGACTTTAACGTCTCGATTTTTGACGTAACGATAACCTAAAATTTAAAAATAATTTTTGCGGACAAAGTTTGCGGACGAAAAAAGTTGTCCGCAAATTTTATTAAATTAAAAAAAGAAGGTAAGCGCTCAAGTCCTTCGCCAGTATGTAAACCAGGGATGCCCATAAAGTTATCCAGAACACGATACTCAAAATCCGAAACTCAGGATAGTTTAGCAAACTAAACCCGACAACCCATCCCAGAAATTTTCTAACAATAAGCCTTGTGTTTTCTCTAGTGAACGGCAAAATCGATTTTGCTGGACCCGAATTCCGAATATGTACCTTGAGCCGGACCGGATCCGGCCGGATTTTCTCGGATTAATCTGGTCCGGTTTTGGCTCGGAAATCTTAAAAAAACCCTTGAAAGACCTAACTAAAGACCTAACTGAAAAAGACCCTAAGGCCGGAAAAATCCTTCCGGCTCCCGTCACTAGTTTTCCCTAACACCATCTTTTATGTAAATATTAAAATGAACTAACCTTTATGCCAAATACAAACAAATCCTCTATTCGTACATCCTTTAACAAATTCAATTTCTTCCTTCTTTTCTTCAACAGTTTCTTCATTGTGGTGTGTTTCAGGCATAACGACTGGTCCATCATCCACAACAATATCCTCAACAATTTCTTCTTCAATTTTAGGTGCCGGACGTTTTCTTAGCGACAAACGACGTTGAAATTGTTCAGATTTTACGTGAATACTACTTGGACTTTGTTTAATTTCTGTCTGTTTTCCCATTAAAAAAAAAGAATTTTCTGATCTGTAAACTAGAAAAGCAGATTAAACGAAAATCTTAAAAAAATATTCATTGTCTTTTGAACAAAAATTGATAAAATTTTCTTTAAAATTTTCTAGATATTTTTTATACACAATAAAAAATGGGTACATCCCAACGTACCGCAAGGCCAATGTACCGCAGACCTATAACTTCGTTGGTGGTCGAATCGGAGACACACTGATATGGTTCAATTCAGCCCGTCGAGATGCATCGAACCATAACAAAACATCACGGATTCAACTATTCTGAACAAAGTTATAGCTCTGCGAAGTTATAGCTCTGCTGGGCTCGCGGCACGTTGGCCTGCTTCCATAAAAATTAGCGAAGACCAGAAGTACTTGGTTTTGGTTTTTTTCGTCCAATACTACCTCTACTACTGTTCAAACTTGAATTAAATTCCATAGAATCATCACCAGATTTTCCAATTTCTTTAACGTCAAAAAATAAACCATTAACATAATTTTGAACATGATGAGACAAAATATCCAAAGTATTCAAAATTGCTTGGTCTGTTTCATAAGAAGCTTCATTTAAGGTACTTATAACGGAATCTTCTTTTATTACATGCTTTCGAGGATTTCTTTTTTTATTATTAGAGATAGTTACTGCACGGATGTAGTCTCGTTGCTTCTCAAATTCATCCCAAAGTGCAAGAATAAAATCGGGCAGTGAAGGGAGTAGTTTATTGTTAGAACCTTGCTGAAATTTGTAATTAAATTTAAAAATTAGAAACAATATAAGAATAAAAAAATAAGTCTTATGGTAATTTATGCATCCTATTGGCCATATATCCCGCCCGAATACCAAAAAAATGTATCAAAATCCGAAACAAAAAATCTGGAGGATCAGATAAACCACTTTATGAAACAATATATACTACCAAAGTATATATTATATATATAATATATATACAAAGTATATTATATATATTATATATATTATATATACAAAGTATATATATATAACAATATATACTACCAAAGTATATATATATATATATATAAAACCCGAGATCGGTAAATGTCCAGTTCGCTATCCACCTAAAAAAGGCCTAAAATAGCCCAAAATAGCCGGCCCGCGGACATATTGGGATATTTCAATGTACGAACAGTTACCCTACTGATTTTGGGACCAATGCCCATTGGATTTTTGGTAGTATATTGTCCTATTAAGACATAGAATTTTTTGTTTTAGAACAAAAATTTGCGAATTAGTGAATAGCGAACTGGACATTTACCAAAGAGATCCTACTGGCCCAACAAATATTCCGGATACTACCCAAAATCAATCTCACATCCCTCTCCTAGTTAAAAATTAAAAAAAAACCTTGAGGTATAATTGTGCCATTTCCATTGCAGAATTTGCATTAACTATTTCGGCTGCTACTCTTTCACTAATATTCCAAAATTCTAAAGGACAATAAGGACGATGACGTAAAGGTTGGGATTGATTTGCTGCTACAATAATTGTTGAAGAAGAATGTGGTGGGAGTTCATAACGTATATGTTGAGAATAATCTTGATAAGCCACATTTGCTTTTAAAAATATTTTCAAAAAAACATCAAAATTAAAAAAAAACCTTCATAAACGTGTTCTTCCCCTGATGCCGAATAAACTAAATTTTGTCCAAAATTCGATCCAAAAGCTGCTGACTTCATTCTAAATTCCTGATCAGTCAGTCCAATAAAAGTTTGTTTGAAATAGAAAAAGAATTCGGCCAGTTGTGGAAGTCCAGCAACTTCAACAATTTTGTAAAATGCTTGATTAACATAAGCCATTGGAATAAGTGCAAGACAAATAATTCGACTGAAAAAATAAGGGAAAAATTGTGTGTAAATTGGGATAGATTGTCAGCGTATATTACTAAAGATTAATAAAGAAAATAATTTGCCATATTAGGGAATCGAACCACCAACTAAAAAATAGAGGAACTAACCCACTTAACCAGAAAGTCGATAGCGTTGTTTATCAAATTTTATCAAAGGTTACCTCCCTAGAACAGGTAACAATCCTAATAAAAAAATTAATTTAAAAAAACCGAAATGTCATCCTCGCAATATTTCCAGCTTGACTATCTTCATTTCCATAAATATCTCCAAGATTGTATTCAGACCATTTGCGAAACAATTCTTGAGAGAAACGGAAATAACAACCACTCACATGAGCCTCTTGAAATACATTTTGTGCTGCTTCAACCACAGAATTCTCAAAGTCAGTAATAACTAAAAGGAAGTAAAGGGCTTTAAATCATCCAGAAAATAAAAAATATACCTCTTCTAGGCTTTGCAGGTCTAATAGCAGCAACAACAGCGTTTAAAGCCTCCATATGTAATTGTTCAGAATTTTCAGTCAAAAGTGCATGTGCTGCAACAATTAATTGACTTCTAACAAGTACTCCAATAGTAAAACAATGCTTAAAAGGGGATGGGGCCAATTTAAACGATGCACCAATTGTCCAGGTAGTTTGACCAGCAAGTTGTTGAAGCATCTAAAAATTTTTAGAAAATTAAAAAAAATCAAAAAACAAACATATGGGTGTGCAAAAACAAAAACTGCATCCTTATCACGAGCTTGAGCAGTCCTCGAATCATACAAAAATATTGATTGCCCATTTCTTTCGGTTAAAGCAAGTGGCAACTGCATAGACATGACATTTGAACCCTTTCTTGTATTGCCTTTTCCAAAAAATTTTGTTTTTTCTCTGAAAAGAAGATAAATCTTTAACAGAATAGTAAGCAGGCCAGTCTCCAGTGAAGGACATTAAAGTTGATTTTGATACCATTTAACATAACATAGTATCATGCCTAAAGACGGCAAATTATAGCCAAATTGCCACACGATTTTGACAATCCTAGTGACAATCTAGCCCACTGATGAGACTAGGCCACCTTATACCCTAAAGAAAGTAAACCTTTTTGCCAACTGTGTAAGTGACCCATCCGATCCCAAAGCTACAAAAGTCTCATCGTCAATTCCAGCTCGAATATCTGCAACGAGGTTTGCACCACTCAATGAAGGCTCTTCTCTAGCTCTTTGTTTTAGCTCCTGCCTTTTAATTTCTGCCAATCTTTGTTCTGGTCGAGGTAAATGAATGTGTGCATTTTTCAATTCTCCCATTAATTTCCCATCTTCCGTTTCATGTGTATATGCGCTTCCTGGACATCTTTTGGTACTACAACGCCAATAAATATTATAATGGTTGACATTAACGTCACGATTCTTAAGGTAACGGAAACCTAAAATTGAGAATCAGTTTTGCGGACAAATTTTGCGGACAGAAATAAATTTTTGCGGACAAAAAATTTTTTCCGCAAGTTGCATTTTCTTAAATAAAAGAAGCATAGACGCGCCCGTCAGACGCCCTTATCAAATAGAAAACTAACAAAAATAAACTAACCTTTATACCAAATACAAAGAGCCCCTTTGTTTGTATATCCTCTACTAAATTCAACTTCTTCCTTCTCTTCCTGAACAGTTTCTTCAAGCGCTGCAGGCATAACAGGTTCAATAATTTCTTCAACAACTATATCTTCAACAATTTCTTCTTCAAGTTTAGGTGCCAAACGTTTTCTTTGTGACGAACGACGATTAAATTGCTCGAGTTTTAAGCGAACATCACTTGGACTTTGCTTAATTTCTGTTTGTTTTCCCATATAGAAAAAAATTTTAATCTGAAAATTAAAAAAAGCAAATTAAACGAAATATAAAAAAATATTTTATTGTCTTTTGAACAAAATTATTAATTAAAAAATTCCCAAAATATTTATACAATATTGGCAAATATCCAGTTGACTCCCCCACCTGTCCGCAAAGAGAATACGCACTTTTCAATCTTTTCTTGCATTTTTTTCTGCAAGGAATGGCGCCCATTTTCTCCTTATTTATGGTATGACTTTTGATACATGAAAAGATAAGGTCCGTATTCTCTTTGCGGACGTGTGGAGAGAAATTTATGAATTTAAATAAAAAATAGACAAATTAGCAAAGACCAGAAGAAGTACTTGGTTTTGGTTTCTTACGTCCACCACCACCTTTACTCTTGTTTAAACCTTCATTAAATTCCATAGAATCATCACCAGATTTTCCATCTTCATTAACATCAACATATAACCCATTAACATAATTTTGGACATGATGAGACAAAATATCCAAAGTATTCAAAATTGCTTGGTCTGTTTCGTAAGAAGCTTCGTTCAATGTATTTACAACCGATTCTTCTCTAATTACATGCTTTCGAGGAGTTCTTTTTTTATTGTTCGAAATAGTTACTGCACGAATGTAGTCTCGTTGTTTCTCAAATTCATCCCAAAGTGCAAGAATAAAATCAGGGAGTGAAGGAAGCAATTTATTGTTAGAGCCTTGCTAAAATAAAATTTGTAATTAAATAAAAAACCAAAAACAATAAAAGAATAAAGAGATGAGTTTTATGATTATTTATAAATCCTATTGGCCATATTCCCGAATACCACAAAATGTTGAAAAATAGAAAGATGAGCTCTATGGCTATTTATATATCCCATTGGCCATATATCCCTCCCGAATACCAAAAAATGTATCAAAATCCAAAACAAAAACTCTGGGGGGATTAAATAAACCCCTTTATGAAAAACACAAAACCAGAGATCGGTAAATGTCCAGTTCGCTATCCACCTGTCTGCAAAAAAAGGCCCAAAATAACCACTCATTACGAATAAATGTAAGGAAAAAAATGCGTATTCATTTTGCGGATAAGTGAATAGCAAACTGAACATTTACCACAGAGATCTTGCTGGCCCAACAAATATTCTGGATCTTACTCAAAATCGTCTCACCATCCCTCTCCTAATTAAAAATTTAAAAAAAAACCTTGAGGTATAATTGTGCCATTTCCATTGCAGAATTTGCATTAACTATTTCGGTTGCTACTCTTTCACTAATATTCCAAAATTCTAAAGGACAATAAGGGCGATGACGCAAAGGTTGGGATTGATTTGCTGCTACAATAATTGTTGAAGAAG